AATTTTTGTTTTGTTTAATCCAAACTAATTTGATAAACTTTTTATATTTTATAAATAATTTTAACTAATAATATATAATAATAAGTTGATATTATATAAGACCTATAGATCAATAGGGCAATGGTTAGCACTTCATAAGTCAAATCATAATATATAAATTCAGATCCTTCAGGGAGCAATATCTGAAGTTTGGTAAAACTTATATTTATTGATTAAACCAAGTAAAGATAAGACTTCTGACATTTTCAAATATAGCTACATGATAATTAGAAAGTAATTAAATGTTGTTTATAATATAGTTTATATAAAAATTGTGATCAAAAAATCAAAATTTGAAATTGACCAGAATTATTTTGGCTTGATCATATTACCACTAGTGATAAGTTAGAAAAGATAATAAAAAAAGTAAATCTAATCGATTAATAGAATATTACTGACTATTATATATTAGACTATAAGTATATACTATATTCAATACTATTGGAAGATCTTGATTAGAAAAGAAATCAGCTGATCATTTTGAAGGATTAAAAAACCGAATCTAGGATAAAAAAAATTCAACAGTCTAATAACTAGTTTACTCTTGATAAAAAATATATTAAGAATAATTAAGAAGGAATTACACAGTTTCCCAAAAAGATAATATTTATATATATAGTATAATCAATATAAACTAATCATATATAAATAAATATTAAGAATAGTTGATGTATATAATACTTATTTAATATATATATAATATAAAAAGCAGTTTATACAAATAATAAAGATCATAGAAAAAAATATAATGAAATATATACTATATAGTTACTGAATAAACTTGAGAGATATAGGGAAGCTTCAAGAGTCAAATATAATATAAAAAATATTAAATAGAAACTGTTTGCGTATTTTTAAATATTTTACTTTCTTTTATTTTTTCTTTCCTCTATTGTAGTTTCTCAAAATCAGTTTCTTGAATAATAATAGATAGTAACAACCTGCTGATAATAATAGGTAAGTTGGAAAGGTTTTTATTCAAAACTTATTCTAGAGTGAAATATTGTTTTCAAGATTGCACTTAAAGGCTTAAGCTTATTTGAGATTTGAAAGTTGTTGATAAGTGAGTCAGCATGAGATTTAGTTTAGTCATGATATAATTGCCCAATATATTTTTAACAGTTTTCTTACAGATTAATAAATACACTATATTGATTTGATCATGGATTAAAAAAAAAAAATAAGTTGGTATTATGTAAAATAAGCTATATAGTATTATAAATGTTTTTTTAATATCTTAATAAAGATATATTATGATAGCATAATTTAAAGTTTAAAAAAAATAATAGTAAAATTTTTACATAAATTGATTTTTTATGTTTAAGTAATAAAATATTTATAAAATTTTTTTAAACTATTTAAATGCATGTTTATTAAATTGTACCAATTATATAATTCAAAAAGCAAATGTTCTACATTGAGTTGACTTTTTTTTTTTTTTAATAAATTTATAAAATTTACAAAATGATAAAAATAATATAATTGCTTATTTAAATTTTCATAAATTCGTGGCATTATTGCGTGTTAAAAATATATACAGTATATATATTCATAAATTTAAAAGATATTACATAATTTGAAATAGGATTATCTACGGTATATTATTAACTTTAAAATAATATTTTTAGTAAACAAGAATAAAAATTTGCAATAAATAGATTCCATAAATACTGTTTGTGCATAGCGTACTTAAACTATGCTATTATTATTATTATCATCAACGAATTATGACATTTGATTAGAGAATTTTAAATATCATCTTCCAATATAATTAAAAATCTTTCTTCCACGCGACATCTTACGTAATATAAGACACTTTTCTGGAGATGATACTTCGTGTGACGGCGCTTAGATTCAGTTTGTGCAGGTGTATTTAAATTATATCTCGGATTATACATTATTGTAGCTTGCTTCTTGCTTGATTTTTTAATTTATTTTCTTGCGAAAGACACAATTCCAGTTAACGTATTGCAATGTGGAAACACTTCTCGCGATAATCTATGGCTTTAAACTCATTTGTAAACCGTATAATTAGAACAGAAGAAGTATCTAGAATCGTTATGCATTTTTTTTATTTGGTATTGTCGTTGACTGGGTTAATAACACGAGGTTTGCTGGAATATGGGTAATTATTTTCGAAGGCGGACAGGGATTTTTCTGACTTTATAATTGTACTTGTGCTCCTAGAATTTACATTGTATACGTATTATTCAAAAAATAGGAACTAAAAAATCGGTTATGACATTTTTGTCGTTTTCTTCAAAAAATAATTATCCATATAGAGAAATATCCTGGATATCTTTAATGAAGAATGAAATACGAGAAAATTTAAGACAATGAATGGTCAAATACTGTAAATATGGGCATATGTTATTCGAATTGTATTTTTGTAGTCAAATTTGTGCATTAATTCTCTTTGGCCCATCTTAAAGCAATTAAATAAGGTAATTTATCAAACAATTCAGACGGGTGTGTCCCATTTTGTTGGAAATGATTTTATGACGAGGAATTTTTTGACGGTTTATTGCCTGGAAAATTCCGAAAAAAATTTCATGCACATTATATGCTTGCCGCGCATTCCCGAGCCGAAATCTGGGTTTCAAATAATGAAGTGGACCGAACCTTAATTGACCCGACTTTCTATTGATCTGTAAGAAGAGTTGAGTTGTTGTTTTTGTTCGTTTGATGGAATTACGTTTTAGGAAACATCGCATTCGGTTGATAATGTTGAAATCAGAGATAGATGGATTCATCAGCAGATCGGATAATTTACAATTTGGCATACGAAAGGTTTGTCCGATGTTAGGTTTACATTTACATAAACATAAATGCGGCAGATAAATTAATGCAAACATATACGCGCACGGTGACTGACAGAAAGAAATGCATTCGATCTTTGTCACTGGTTCATGGCGTAAGGTTTATCCGAATAATATATGACAGGAGGTGGGTTATTTTTGACGATTAAGATTACCATTCGCTTAAAAAACAAATGTGCACTTATTGAAACACCACTTGCGTCTAGGCTAGATGTTTTCGTTTGGCAGACGAATATATAATAAAGATGGTAATGTTAGGATGTGACGCCCACGTTTTCGTGCTAGAAATCAAAAGTCTGTCGTCACACGTTTTTCGCACTAATCGAAAGTGAAGATTTACTCAGAAATTTTCAATGTCTGGTGGATGTAAACAATTGATGTTTTTGTCTTTGTATGCAAGATACAGTTGTTCGCATTATCTTTTTTAATCGTAATTAAAAATCCGAATATTAAACTCCTTGCTTGGAAAATGTTACGCGACACATGATGAATTACATTTCTCGCTCTAGAAATTGAGATCACATAATGTGAGTACATATTGGTTAAAAAGTGTGAACACAGATATGGGGTAGGCATTTCGAGGGGGTGGCATATTGAATCTTATTAAAGTTTTTTCCTACTCGGGCGGACGTTTTTCGTAGGAAACAATTCATGCATACAATTAGCACAGCATCCCTTGTGCCACGAAAATCTATTTTAAATTCTATTTCAAAACAAGAAATCAAAGAAAGCCGATTTTTTTTGTGTAAACGATCATCATCTTGATAACCAAAATTATATTTGCTGTGGTAAATTAAATGCATCGTTTTCCTTACTGAAAATAAAGGAAACGTTGTGCCAGCTCGATGTGGTAATTTCGAGTCGGAAGAGCAGCAAAAGAAATTAATCACAGAATTCAGCATAAACCCAATTAAGATGAGGTGAAGATCTTTTGTTTTTCATTGGTGTTACCTTATTTTTTGCAGAAGCCGCCTTTGACCATTCAATTTATTTCTTTCAAATTAAAATTCAATTGATTAAGTCGCCTAGTAAGGAAACTCGTTCCTCGTTGGTGACAAAAAAAAAAAAAATCTCAGAATTTGTGGACTTTAATATTTTAATAATTTACGACCACATGCAGAGTACATGATTGAATAGTTTAACATAAACAATTAATCGAACTCACTGTATGTCGTAAATGACAGCATAGCCTCCGAATACATGTTTGTGAATGGTCAATTAAGAGAAGGTTTTGAAGGTCGGTCGGTCACTCGGTCGATCGTTTTTCATCAATTATCAACACCACCTCTAAATTCTTTCATATGTACATATGTGCAGGCATAGTTAGTTGTCCAGTTTTACAAAACGAATCGCTCGGGCTTTATGCGAGGTAAATGAATGTCGTACACATATGAAATTAAGATTAAGAATTTTTTTTTCTCAAAGGAAGACCAAGACTTGCTCTATTCCTTTGGTCGGTTGAATGTGACGGCGAATTGAATTGGTTTCGCTCACAAAACGGATGGAAGAACATACATTCAATTTAGATATGGTGAAGAGATTGGTAATCATTTAACACACGAAATTACTGAGGCGAAAAATCGAATGAGTTAATTTTTTTATGAATTACTATTTGTTTCGCAAGGAAGACAGCGCATTCAATGATATGTAAAAAAAAAAAAAAAAAAAAAAAAAGTAAAATAAGGGGGGCTTATTAACCGGAAAATTATTATTGTTAATGTAAATTAATAAAATATTTAAAATAATAATCATGTACTCCATAATAAGAAATAGACGCCCCGAGAGATACCCTGGCTGAGTGATCGTACTCCCATGCAGGTAATTTGAATAAGCTTTGGTCCAACTCCAATCATGCTGAATGGTTATTTATGCGCAAGAGAAAACACAATGTTTCAACTGTATCGCTGGTGGCGCCTTATAGAATTAACAAGTATATTAAGTACCCATCAATATTTCCCGGATTTCTAATAAATACAGTCCAATTTCCCCCACTCTGATTCTCCATCCGACGACAGTTAAAGTCATATATCTCTTCGAAAAAAAAACAAAAAAAAAAACTTTTCTTTTTTGTTAAAATTCAAGACATCTTTAAAAAAAAACCCCCCCACCTCAATCCTTTAGTCTCCAACAAACCATATCAAAATGAAGTTCAATATGAAGATTGCCTTCTTTTGCGTTGTCTTTTTCATCCTCGTTTTAAGCGTTGCCTCTCAGTAAGATCATAAATTTCGTGCTCAATCTCATTTTCTAGTTCTATAGAAATCTTTCTCAACGATTCCCCATTCTTTTTATAGGTCCTCCACTGATTCTTCTTCTGCTTCACCCACCGATTCTGTCGCCCCATCTGGCGGTCCATCTGGCGGTCCATCTAGCGGTCCATCTGACAGCGCTAGTCCAGCCGGTCCATCTGGTTCCGCCGGTCCATCTGGCCCAGAACCATCTGGTACAGCCGCGACTGACAACTCAAGCCAACCCACTGGCAGCGGCAGCAACAGCAACAGTACCAACGCGTAAGTTATTTTCTCTCTCTCTTTTTTTTTTCTTTCTCTCAAAAAAAAAATAATGAATTTTTTTTTCATTAATTTTCTCTTCGAATGTTACGTTTAGTACTCCCACCGGATCAGGTTCCAGCTCCAGTGGTACCGCAGCCGCAAGCCCAAAAGCTTCAGCATCCGGATCATCAGCATCGAGCGCCTCTCGCATTGGTGTCGAAGCCATGTTCGGTTTATTGGTTGCCCTCATCGCCGCTAGCTTCCTTAACTAAATTAAACATCTCCCTAAGATTCGCATTTTTCCATACAGTATATACACAATTACATAAAGAACGTTTCTAATATTATTTTCTTATACATTAAATCTTAGTTCTTACTTAATAAATAATAATATATTGACATACAATTCACCTTATCATAAAACTATTATATATGCAGTATATATATATATAATATTCACTAAAAAGATGTCAATTAGGTTTGAAATTTGGGCCAGAACATAACATTAGGGTGTGTTTCAATCAAAAAAAAAAAAAAGGAAATGCATATATTGTTCTTAGATACTTAATGCTTCAACGAGACTAGACTTTTCGAAGTTGAGCATTATATTTTATTTATTGTGTACCAATAAATTCGTGCTGATTTATTCAATCAGCCTGTTAAACCTATCATGTGAATACATTGAAAAAAATCTATCATTGTGTGACACAATTTTAATTCGAGGTGTCCCGAACTTGCATGTATAGTCTTCGCGCCGCATATACGGCGATTTCCGGCAAATTGATAGAGAAATTTCTTTCTTGATTGAAGCGAACCAATTTTCTCGAGAGGACAATTGGCCAGCACAACAACAAAAACTCACGATATTCGCATTCTCATAATTACTCTGTAAAATTACGACAACATTTAGGGATTTTTCCTTTTTGCAAAGCCCCGCAAAAACCGCCGACTCGTGAAAATTGAATTTCGATCGTGTTGTAAACACGCTTATTGATTGTTTCTCGCAAGAAACCATGTGGCTTGAATCACTTTTTTTATTGATGGTCCCGTGGTATTTATTAAATCCTCAGTAGAAGACCTGGTTTCCGATCCGGAAAGATCAATTGTTCTTTTCTCCGATTGTTTTGACAACACACACAGTATAATACCAACAATCTATGCCACAAAAATCCATAATCCCAATTGTTATTGTCATAGCCAGAATTTAATGAAGTGATCGATCAGATGTTTTTCGATGGCTTTGACAAAATTTTTTCTGGATACCATCCCGACCCACACGCATTGATATGTTTACATTACTGTGGCTATGTATGAAGTTACATAATGTCTTTGCAATAAATTGTGCCCAAGCCCGGTGATAACCAGTTGGTTATGATCTTGGCTCGGGTCATTACTACCGTTTTAGCTAATAATCAGGCAAAAATGATTGTCATGATTGTCCGAGGTAGGCGTGCGCACCTGACTCTCCAGCACGTATTCAAAATTCTGGTTAGATATTTAATTTTTTTTCTTTAAGTCGGGTTAGTATGAGTCACTACAAATCATATAATGTACGTACATCGCGTTCTATGTGTACAAACTGATTCACATACAAACACGCTCTCGCTATTCTTAGAATTCTTCCAAGTGCGATCTCGGGAATGATTTTTTCACTTCTTAATTAAATCCTTGTTTAAATATGGGGCATACTGTAGGTAGATGTTAAACTAATAATTTTGCCAATACATCGCGTTGGAATAAAATTTTTAATCCAGGTCGGACTTCGAGTGAACTAAAAAGTTTTTTAGATTAGATTATAATCGCATAAGGAAATTTACTATAGCATTTCCCAAAGTGCTTCGTACTTGAAAACCCAATAGCACATGACCAATTAATTTGCGATTGTGGTATGGTTTTTTTTTTTTTCGTTGATCGCAATGAAAAACTAACTGGTTGATAAGATTGGTGAGAAAGACGAACCTGAACCGGAAATTGGTTCGGACTCGAAAAACTTGAAGGTATGTGATTAATCTGATTAATTTATACATCTTATTTATTCGAAATATTTATACTAATTTATTTTTTTATTTGGTTATTTTTTGGAATATTATAATTGCTTGCATTAAATGTACTGTATACGTTTGCTTTCAAATATATTAATTTATTACAAGAACTTTTATTGATAATAATAAAATTGTTTATTACTATTATTATTATTATTATTATTATTACCAATTATTATTATGATTATTATTATTATTACTAATTATTATTATTATATTATAATAAATTTTTTTAAAAATTTAAATAAAACTTTTTTTCATTGATCACTTTTTCAAAAAATAATAAGATATAAAAATTTTCTTTTAAATAAAAACAAAAACAATATAATTAATATTATTGTAAAAATAAGTTAAGCTTTTTATATAGTATTATATTTAAATACTCTGATTCAATTAAATAGTTAGATCAATTCAAAGAACTTTTTTTCAAATATGAAAAAAAATTTTTTTTTTGTTTACTTTAATAGCTCAAATAATATATATATATATTTTAAATAAATCTAGAGTTTTTTTTTTTTTTTAAAAAAAAGATGATTTAAGAAAAATAAGAAACAAAATCAATTAAAAAATAAATATCTTTTATACAAACAAATCTTGATTATAAAAATTTACAAATAAATATATTCTTAAGTTATACTTAAAGTTAAAATAACTAAGTTAGTTAACTATTTAGCTTTAATAATACTATAATTAATATAGCATATATTAAGTTTAATAAAGTATATATAATTAACTTGATAAAGAATTTAAAAATAAATAAATAAATAAAAATTTATAATATATTTGTAAATTTTTTTAAAAAAAAAGAAATTTACAAAAAGTTTTTTACTTTTTTGCTAATAAAGTCTTAATAATTTCCTTAAAACAACTTGAAATCTGACTTTAAAAATTATCTTTATACTTTTTCTATTATTTACAAATCTTTTTACTCAAAAACTTGATTTTCAATAACCAAGAAAAGTCAAATAATATCTTTGATATCAATAGCAAGAAAGTTTTCAAAAGAAAAAAAATTGATTGTAAAATATCTAAAAACCTTTTTAACTTTTGAAACAAGAGATTTATAGAGGTTTTGTTGCAATTAAAGATTTGTTTTTTTTTTTTTAAACTGCCTTAGCTCTTTTAAAACTTTTATTTTTATAGTTTTTTGATAAATTTTGCCTATCTCAATTTGATTCTGAATTTTTTATAATACAAATTTTTATAAAAAATAATTTGTTGACATAAATCACATTAGTTTCTGAAATATAAACAATGCTTTTATTAATTATACTTATGTGTTTTAATGATATTATTAATTATTAAAAAGAATATTTCAAAAATATTTATTTTCAAAAATCCAAGTCCCTTAATGAAACCATTTATAATATCAAAAGATCAAATGATAGATAATATAAATTATAAACTCTCATCTCTTATTTAAATTCTTCAAATAATAATAAAGCTGTAATGAAAAAAGTTAAGATTTAAATATTTATCTTGAGATATTTTAATCTGATGTTTACATAAATAAAAAATCAATTGAATTGATTTATTTAATATCACAGGTAGTAATAAAAAATTATCTTTCAAGATTTATATAAAATAAAAAAACTATCCTAATTAGATAAATCTCTTTTGAGAAAAGATTATTTTTATTTTTGATCTTTTTTTATAAGTCTTGAATTATCTTTTTTCCTCTTTTGTTTTCCTCTTTTTTCTTTTAACTTAATTATATATTGATTTTTGAATCAATTAATACTGTCAAACTATTAGCAAAAATCATAGTAGATAAAAATTATAACCAATCTATCAGAAGCGTATAATATTGTCCCTTAAAGTATTTAATATAAAGATAAGTTAATTAGCTATATTGTAAAAGTCTATAAACTATTGTGGATTTTGATTTAATTTCTTAATAAAGACAAGCTATCATATTATGATTGCAGATTAAAAATAAATAAATAAATAAAACTTTATAATAGTTTTATAAAAATTAAACTATAAAATTAAATGTTTTAAAACTTTTGCAAAAAATAAAATGATTCTTAAAGGAACTATACAATTATTTTGAAAAACAATTTAAAAGGCTAATACTAGTTCTAGATATATTGTTATAATCAATTGTAATAATTTTAATATAAAAAGTTAAATAACAATTATGTTTATAGAAAAAAAATCTAATAGCTATTAAATAATTATGAAAAATTATATTATAATTAATATAAACAATTATATATTAATCAATAATTCTTTTAATTTAATTGTTAAAAAATTTAGAATTATTTTAAAACTCTTAATAAAATAAGTCAATAATTTTATTATAAATAATATATATATTTATAAATAATTTTATTTTTTATAACAAGCATAAAAATATTTTAATGATTTTATAGTATTCTAATAAAATAAATATAATATATTGATAGAATATAAAAAATATATCTTATATATTTATTAATAAATTTAAATAAAAAAAAAATCGTTGGGTAATATTAATAAATTTTAAATCTAGAATTCAAAATTAAATAATTGCTAAAAATTATTTTTAAAAAAATTAAAATAGTATTATATATTTTTATTATTATTATTTTTTTTTACTCTTTGTCAGGCTAGATACATATATAAAGATGTATTGCTAAAGCTAAGTCTTTACCTAACTCACTTGTCTCTATTTTAAGAATTATTAAAACTTTAAATACAACTTCAGAAGTAATTTATCACTCTGTTAGTAGTTCAAGTAAAGACCCTTTCAACTGTTAACTTCATTGCCTGCAGGTCACTATTGCAAATTACTTTATGAGGTTCTAATAAAGTAGTATTATATATTTTTTTTTATATTTTTTTTTTAACCACAACTGGTATTAGATGCGAGCACTTTTATTAAGAATTAACTTAACATCATAGATAATGAAATCCTGGGCATCACATCAATCATCTCATACAAACTATAT